AAATACATGCATAATGAATCTTGTCAATTCTCAGAATTCCTAAGATATTTTTTTCCGAGAAGATATTTCTTATTTGATCAACATTTCGTTTTAATATATTAAATATATTTGAAAAATTGATGAAATTATGAATAAAAGAATAAAATTATATTGGAAAAATTGGAATAATACAAATATAGTAAAGGCGAGAAAAGTTTGACTGATACTTCTTTTCAACTTTATTTCATAATTTTTTAGATTATTATAATATTAGAATGGCTATTGAGGCATTCTACATCAAACTAGGCACCTTAGAAACATCAGTTTTATCTTCTATTTAAATTTGCTTTAATCATATTCTATAGATAAAAATACGAGTCACGTGAAAAAAATGTTTAAATTATTCATGCTTATAAGTTGCAGAAATTCATAAAAAACGTCGCTGATGCGAACATTCGATATATTATATTGTCGAAACCATTAATTGTACAAAAAAAATGGAAGAGACCGATTTTAAAGATCTTAAATTGATCTACGAATGGATTATTTTTAATTTATCATTTTCATATAAATAAATTATTTTTCATTTGTTTATAATTTTTATCAACATTTTTCGTCATCAACTCACCAATTAAAAAATTTTGTAAAAATATCATCATTCCCACTTCAATTATGAAGTAATCCTGAAAATTTCAAAATAGAATTCGAATGAACTGCATAATTAAAAAATTTTGATGTGTAACGGCGTGATATATCATGCGGAAGTCTCATATTTTTATTTTTAGCATATATCAGCAAATTGAAAAAAAAAAAATAAAAATGACGATGTTTCAAAAGCGTTCAGTTTGACGTGGAATGCCTGAAATATATAGAAAAAATATTTCATCCTAAATCAGTTATTATTTTAGCTTAATAATTTCGTATATAATGTAACGTAATTTATTATAAATTCTTCGAAACGAAATCTCTTCATTCTAAAAAGTGAAAATTGACTCAATCTTGAAAAAGAGTGACTCAATTTTCTATCTTTAAGAGTAAGATTTCACTCTTTTAGAGTGAGATTCATTCTAGAGAGAAAAGTTCTAGAGAGAACATTTGGCAGACATACAGCGTTCCACTTTAATGTATCAGAAGAAATAGTCCAAATGTTCAACAGTGTAGACATTCTGGAGCTAACGCGCCCACGTTACATGCGCGATACGATTTTAGAAGAGTTATTCATCCATCGGTTAAGACACACACTTTTCATGCAAATAGTCGACGAAACGGAATCTATAAAACGGCAGCAAAGTGGTCGTCCCGCCGCCGTAGGAGTACGGTAGGTAGTTCTATTTAGATCTCTCGATGGCAACCATCCAGGATGCGGTCGCCGTGAAGACGACGTGTTCGTTTGCCGCGATAGTCAGGGTCAGGGCATCTGCGTAGGGGATCTAGCCTAGTTACACTTAGCACGGTCGATCTGATCTATTTAACACCTCATAACAAACGAAAGACCCAGATGCACTCCTTGCAAATAAAACACATTCTTGATTACAGAACATTCTTCTTGATCTTGTCTTTGAAATAAAAAAAAAATGGCCACAATGGCTTTCCTTTACTTTTCAAATTAAGAAAGACTGTGACAGGCTAAAACTCAAATTTAAGATTCCTGCTCACCGTAGCTTGGATTGTGACATCAGAAGAAACAAAGACACAGAAAGATAAAGAAAATTCTTGCAAATTTATTAAAGTGTATTTTTTAATAAAACAACATTTGCAAAATCGATAGAATAGATTTGTATACACAAAAATACCGAAAATATTCCTCTTGTATATCCGGTAATCAATAAACAATAAATAATTATCATATATTTGAAATTTAATTATACCTAAGAAAATGAAACTAAGCTATATGATAGATGTTAAATATTTTGTTGAGATAAATATTGTATGACTTTATTCTTCGTCGATAGAGTATTAAAGTTTAAAGTATTAATTATAAAGTATTATAAATAATATTATAGTATTATTATGAAATATTAAATTCGTCGATCTATCTTCTTTAGCAATGAGAAACAGAAGTAATTATTTATGACGGAGTCTGTATAGGGTTCCGAAATTCGCGAATCGAAGTACTACAACAAGAAAGTTTGCAAAAAAAAATAAAAATGTTACTCGTAAATTTTTATTTTAAGTAATAATTTGTGAAATAATAAATAAATTTAAATATGGCTAATGACGGACTACATTTAAATGCTGAAGCGCACGCTTACTAATACTACCACACGCGCGATTCATAGACAGACAGCGGCTTAAACATATAATTAATTATATCTGTAATTAATTATATAATATTTAAACTTTTACATTTTAAAAACTACTACTTAAAATAAAAATGTATATACATATAATATTTTTTAATCTTTTAAAAACTTTCTTGTTGTGATATTTTGATTCGCGAATTTCGGAACAGCCTATGTATTCCCTGTGTATAAATAATTCCTTTAAATAAAATTATTTTTCCACTGAATCATTATTTTATATATTTTTAATAAAAAAAACATCAAATATTATGACTTAAAACAGACGGATAAAACGATCTTGATCAGTGCATCATCGTAATGATTTCCAGATGATTTACTATTCTAAATGATTTATGATCTATTATAAATAAATTTCATAGATATACTACGTGACTGATGTTTTCTATGAAAACCCGTCGAAGCCTAAATCAATAAACTGCGTCATGGAGTTCTTTCCCCGTGAAATGACGGGATCTTCAACGAAAGAGGTCGAATGCTATTAAATACTGTTGATCTCTCGTAAAGATGATGATTCACACATGTTATCATTAACGATTCTTAAATTTACACTTGCGAGTCGAATTAAAAAATGGACCACAGATGTGGTAGGACCACTTACGTTCTTTCTTCCGTCAAAAATAAGATGATATGAATAAGATGACTAAAAAGTACATATTTTTTACAAATTGTTCTTGAATTTATATCTTTATATATATATATATATATATATATAAACCATAGATATTTATCTAATCACTATAAATCAACGATGTAAATTAATAATTCTTTTCTTTCTTCTACGCACATCATTGAATTAAATTACGAGAGATTAATTAATTCAATCAAGCGTTTTTTATTTTTGTCCATCATCTTCTCAAAATAATCACGTACAAGAAATATAACGGCAATGTAATCTCAAGAATTGAGACCGAAAGAATAAATGATAACCCATAGCGAGGTTATATACAAAAAAAATGCAACGCGAAATGGAAATTGCCATTGCATTCGTTAAAAATACAACCTGAGATATTTATTGCAGTCTAACAATACTATCTCAGAATTCTAATTAACGCCATCAGTTGTATGTATGCCTTTCTTCGCGCGAGATTTATTCGACACGTTCAGAGACACTTTATCATTTGACTCGGAAATGTCTGGCTTTCGGAAATTGTCTTGTCAGACGAAAACAAAATCGCGAGTATATTCATTGTTACGTTAGCAGCCTATTATTTGCGGTATCCTGTTATTGTGCGATTTACGAGTAATTATACAAACTGTGTGTTGTGACTGAAAAATCTGTTTCATACACGTGCACTTCCGAGAATTTAGTTACGGACTGATTTTGATTTCTTTCGAGGTTAATACCAAGAGAAAATTAGTTAACGCTAGATCAAGTAAAAAGAGAAACTAGCAACAATTTCAATTACTAATTCTTTTACAAGTCACTGTGCTTTATAGCTGTGAATAATCTTCTCGATTAGACTATGAAGTTATCTTCATCAAACTGGATGTTATTATATTTGTCATATAGATAAAAAATTAAAAAATTAAAAAAACTTATAAAGCATAATGTCTCATAAGAGACACTACGCCTTATAAGTTTTTTAATAAACCAAACATATGCACAAGTACTTTTTATTGTATGGGTAGAAATAATTCAAGGTAAACTTAAAAGATAACAGCAAGATAATAAGTATTCACGACTATAGATAATTTCCTTTAACGGAAAAAACGTATATAATTCTTTAACAAGTGTAATTTAGACGTCATTAAAGTAGAAATAATTATATAAATAATATGTATATATTAAACAAATTAAGTTTATTTTTGTAATAAGTAAGCAAGATTAACACAATGGTGAGTTGTAAAATCATAACGCTGCAAAAAAAAATAAATAAATAAAAAAGTAATTTCAAAACTAATAATCGCTGCGATTCAGACTATAAATCATCATTTTTATATCAATTTTTAAAGAAAATCTCAATAAAATACTCAATAATATGAGCCTTCGTGGTTGTTAGTGCATAAATTATATCGTTTCTTTACTTCAAAACGCAATTCGCAAAATGATTTTCGAGTTATTATCATGAATGAGTTAGATACAGATTACTCTAAAAGTAAACCAACTTAACTTCACAAAGCGCCAAATAGCTGCACTTAAGTGCAGCTATAATTATGTCGTTCTTAAGATTTTTTTTTTAAATCATGATACCTTCTACAAGAATAACACATTTTGAGTTGTGTCATTTTTTTAAATAAAGAAGAGTCTTCTACAGAGAATATTTAGAGTTAAAATAGTTTTAGTGATTAAAATTTGAAGAAATGTATTTTTTATCTCTAATTTAATCATTTAATCTAATTTAATCATTTTATGAAGGTATTGAGTTATAACACTTTGATGAAATATTCTAAATTTGTTATAATTTTTTATATCAAAATCGTCACAACTTAAAAAAGTGGTTTTTTAAAGATTGTGAAACAAAATTATCATTTGTTCACATTTCTGAGAATATTTTTTTTGCCAATATTTAATTAGTCAATAATTTACTGTTAAGTTAAAAATAATATTTCTTCCTCTTATCTGAAAAACTTATTTTTTTGAATCATTGGTTTATTTTTTGAGTTGCGTTACTTCTGAAATAAAAGGATGATACATTCACAAAGAATAGGCGTTTTATTTGTATTAGATTTATTCTATAGACTCACAGATATTATTTTATTTATTCTTAAAGAACTTACGAGTGCCGGTATCAACACGCCGACGAGTTTCCATGTTCATAAAGATAAACAATCACAAAAAATAGGTCGCAGTATTAGCAATTAATCGGAATGTAAAATGCTTTGCGAGCACCAGCTCACGTATATTTAACCTAGATACATAAATACTTGAATTAAAAAGTCACTATAAATTAATATAACACATTTAACCACGTTAACTACTTTTCTTCATAGTGTATTATAAATACGCGGAACCATATTCTACGCTCGTTGCGTTTTCGTTATCACGAGTAAATATTAGATATTAGCCTCTCGGTATTTATAGAAATCCGAATTTACGTCGAGAACTGTATTCAACCGTGTACAGTAATGTTACTTCGATAAATGGCGATGGGAGAGCCGGGAAATCGTTCACGAGTCCAGCGGGAAGAGCGACGTATTCCCGTTAATATTCGCGAAATGCAGGAAAAGAACCGCTAGAACGGAAAAAGTGGAAAAGAGCGCGACAAACTCCGCAGTGTACGCGTTACGCTCACGAATGTCGACTGGCAGGCTGTTCTCGAAAGGCTGTTCGTTCGGAGTATCGGTCGAAAAGCCACGGCCGTGTCAGCTGAGCGTGGAAAGCAACAGTACACCGGTTATGAGAAAACTGGAATGTCTCTCTCTCTCTTTCTCTCTCTCTCTTTCTATTTATTTATCTTTGTCTTTCTCATATCACTATAACGCGTCGTCGTGAGAACGCACGACGATCGAATGTAACACGCAGACTGACGAGGACCGTTTAGTGTCGCGAGTCACTAATTATTTCGCGATAAGCATGTAATCAGATACGAAGTGTGTTCTAATAGATAATGTAAATATTATTGACAAATTTTAAAAGTAACACGTGTTCCTTGTAAAAATTTGATACTAGAAGATAATGATTAATTATTTCTTTCACATTGAGAAAAATATTGGAAATGAACGAAGATTTTGATTATATGAATAAGAATTTCGATTATCTCAACTAGAATAATAATAGATAGATTTAACCAGAAAATTTTCAGAATTCCAATTAATCTAACCAGACGTTTTTCTCAGTGTAAGTATTAAAAGTATTAAAATTATCATTCAGTGCTTTCAGTACTCAAAATAAATAATTTATCACTATCTTTCAGTGTTAAATTTGTTAGGATTAAATTGGATTTCTGTACATGGGAAAATTTTACTGAAATATTTAAAAATTCAGACAGATACAGATACTAGAAATAATTTTGTTGGATTATTAAAATAATTATACAGGAAACTCAAGCATGAGCAATTCTGCAAAAACTTTTGATAAGCAACTAGTTTACTAGTTAGAACATTCTACATAATTATTTTAATGATTCAAATATAATTATTTTCTCAGATCTGTACAAAAAATGATTTTGCTGAAATATTTAAAAATTTAGAGTGATAGCTAAATTTTTAGACACTTCAACAAAATCGTTTCTTATAATGCTATTAAATAAGCTCTGCTATTAAATATATTAATTCCAAATAATTTCTTGTATCTTCAATATTTTGACTGTTATTATATTGTATTAATAAAAGTCGATGTTTTGACATATCATCAAATGTTGTTTTTGAGTCAATTGTATATATGAGAATAAAAAAATCTTAGCTAAAAAAAAACAGAACCATTGCCAAATTTTCTTAGTTAATAACGATCTCATTAAAATTTCAGTTCGTTGTGAAATTAAATGTGTCACTCTTTCAAAAATTAATTGATATTATTAATTTCAAAGCAGTTTTTATAAAAAAAATATCACAGTATCTCTAGAATAATATTGTTATTTCTGCGCACGCAACTATCGTTTAAAGTTTAAATATCGAAGTTCAAGCTTTACGTCATAACGCTGTAATAATTATATGCGTAAAAAAGTGATTAGTCACTGACAAAAAAGAGTTGACAGTGTCAGGAAAAAGTATATTTTCTAGGTTGCGTGTACAAATAAAAATTATCACATCACAGTTGAGATTGAAATCTGAAATCGAAATATTTTCTAATAAATTATGTGATACAAATTAAATAAATGTATATATACTATATTACTAACTGACGAGGAGAACTAACTTTTGAGTGTTTGCAGCATCGAAATCCGAACTTGTAAAGATTATCATCATTTCCAATGATTGATTCAATGTATCAATAAATTATAATCTATCGTTAGTCACGAATAAATATAAAAATTAGCTTCATGCATCAACTGAAGTTACGTCGGCTTCAACGTTTACAAAGTATTATATTTTAATCTGTGGAAAAATCTGCGAATGCATTAATATTGCAGTCAATCAACAACAATTGCTATAATGGCTATTGTATTTATTGATTTCTATGTATATATATATATATAAACTTTGCAGAGTGTTTAAAGTAACTATTTTTTACCCTTTTTTTTATGCCTTTGTCAATACCCTTCGTTCTACTCAATTAGTTTTTACGAGCCAAGTTAATGTACCATTAACATCGACAACAATCGCTATTAACTGCTTCAATACTTAAATGTCGTTTTATTCAAATAAATTTCGTAATAATTATGCTTTAATAACATAATCTTTCAAAGGAAAATAAAAATATCTCAAAAAAAATTAAGGAAAACAATTTTGTAAACGTCCTTGTTCATTAATTCTTGCTTTAAATTAATCAAATCCGATACTAATTGAAAACTTCTTATCTTAAATTTAAAAAGATTTAAGAAAGAATGGCAAAAAAAAATTACCAACATCAGACTATTTTTCCAGAGGCAACGCTGTGTTTTATCAATATTATATCATCGAGATGATTAATTATGAGTAGAAGTAATTCTTACATAATTAAATCATGTCGTTACTTAATCTGATGATCTGTTTGTATTATCCGGCATGTTTACAAATTTCTGGTTTATGTGATTTTTTTTTATATGTGCGCTACACACACAACGAAAATAGAAACACGCTCTCTCGCGTGTATTCGCTCCAATTTATTTGCACAAAGTTATATACGCGTGTTGATAATAAGGAAAAATAATTCTTCTTCCTCTACTCTTTTCTCCCATTCAGATTATTAAATTTATGCCTCCTTAGAAAATTATATAAATTTATAATGAGAATGTAACCGCCGAGGAATTTTAATCTAAACATATTAATAGATATTAATAAATACAAAACAATATTTTCTAAACTTTGAAGATTCATAATGTTTAAATTTGATGTAATAAAATTTTAATGTTATGTGATAAAAAAAATTAAAAGTTACAATCAATATATAAATAAGAATAAATGCCTCATAATCTTTTTAAAAAAACTGAAACTTTATATCATTGGATGTAGCAAAAAAGTTATTTAAAATTTATACAAAGTATCGTCGTTATATTTCGTTTTTATTATTTAAAAATAATTCAGAAATCAATTTCACTACAATAATTAATATTTTAAATAAAAACCGATCAAAATTTTTTAATTATAATTAATTATATACATCATTATGTACATCAAACAATAAGGTTCTATTATAAAATAAACTTTATTTGAACAACAAAATGTAAAATAGCAAAAAGGCATTAATTACTAAAATCTGTTTTTGCCGACAGTAAAAATTAAAATTTTAAAATGTCCTAAAAATGAATGAATAAATTCTTACATGAAATTTTCGCTAAACAGCAGTTTTATTTCGAACATATCGATGAATATGTTAATTAAGCAAAAAGTGATATAATATATGCATGCTCTCTTTTTGCTTCTTTCTCTCTTAAAAATATTTAAATACATGCATAAGTCTGCGCATAAATGGAACATCAATATTTGTCACATTCATGCTGAAATCGCATAAATTCTACTACATTTACTCCACGTCACGTAAACATCAGTTGATGTAACAGATCAATGTCACACATGCAAACAGGCGGGACAATCCTTCTTCACTCCTCCAAAATATCATTTAAAACATATGTTCAAAATTAATTACAAAAATATCTCAAATATTTTAACTATCGTAACAATACAAACCCAGTCATGAAAAATTCAGAGTCCGTTTCAACACATACATATGGATCCTTTCCACGTTACATATTTAGTAGTAGCGTTGCTTGAGCGTCGTCAATTGCCAAAGAAACATAACCTATACAGCGACGCGATCGACGAAGCTCCACCCGTTTCGCGAGTTACCTCGTTAATCGTCAAATAACACAAAGCACATACGTATCATTTTGTAGGAAAACTGACTTACGTAAAGACTGCTGTCCCACGAACCTGCGTGGGTGAGCCGCACGCCCTTGAAGTCAACGTATCGACCCTGTCACCGCGCAATTCGCTCGCTCCTTTTTCGCCGGGGATATGCCGGATACGACGACGGAGTTCGACGGTGCCGATAGGATACGATCGCCCGATTCGCATGCTTTGCTAAAACGATCTTACGCGAGGCACCTCGATCCGCCTCGCGAAAACGACTTGAAGCTCACGAAAACTATGGGAACCAGGAATCTCACTGTCGCACTGCCACGTCGAGCTGCGCCGCGTCGAACTTATTCGCGTCACATACTCGCGTCGCGACCTTCCTTGTTATAAGTCGTAACCCTCGATCACCCTCGAATCGAACTCGCGATATGTATAGACGGATACAGCATTTGCAACTGCGCGTTGTCATCATATATTATCATATAGTGTTATTTTGCAGCTTCAGTTAAAGCGCGTTCATCAAAAAAAGCAGTAATTTTATACTGTTGTAAAATTCTTAAATATGATTAGTTTATACATTTAAATATGATTAGTTTATACATTTAAATCCAGGAATTAAGAACAAGAAGAAATAAGAAATTAAGGAATTAAGAACAAAAATATCAATCATCAAGTTGCAAAGCTGTTTTCTTTGATGAACTCAGTCAATCTTAATATTGGAGCAGAATAGCTTTGACCAAATTTCAGTTATAATTGGAGATTAATTCTACAATGTTATACAACGTTCGTATAATTTTTTTATGTAATTATTTGAATAAAATGTATTTTAAATTCTAAAAATGTATTTCAATTTGCATTGTTCTCTTCGATAATTTATAAATAAACGCTGATGTTACATATATTTTTTTTAAACATATAAAGATAAGCAAAAGTTCTCGTTTAATTGTAAAATAATTTATGCAGCATTCAATTATAAAAAAATTAGACCTAGGAATTTAGATTTCCTAATAATAGGATAGGAAATTTTACATCTCATGCAAATAATATAGGAGTCTTATCGAAAAATATATCTATATTATTTCAATAATGCATATAGAATTATTTATCTTTTATTGTTACACATAGAAAAATTAAATTAAGAGCGGTGAATTATCCCATACAATATATATCATTGCAACAATATTGCAATGTTTCAGCAATATTATAATAATACTATTGCAATATACAGTATACAATTATGCTATTTTCTGTACTGTATAAGATACAGCTAGAAATTATCCTCGAAATGACTTTGTCTAAATTTCAATGATTGACTTAATCGATGATTAATTCAAAGTAGACATGATAATTGACACATCATTCATACATAAATAATATTCAATGTTATAAATTGGATATACTGGAATTCGAATTTATCTTCTTTCATTTTCCTTATAAAACATTGAATGACAAGATTTCGTAAGAGAATTTGGTGTATTTTTTATTCGTATTTGAATGACAATGCACTTTTGGAAAGAAAAAATGCCATATGTGTATAAATGACGTGGCAGTGAATACATTATAGTAAAATTTTCAATTCGTTGTCCCCG